GAAACCAGACACTGAAACTCCCGAACACTGCTGGACTTCCATAATAGCCTGCGTTCGTTTCTGTACAACCTGGAAGGGCACTGTTCAGTGGAATTGTTCACATAGATGAGGTGAACAAGCTACACATGGTAATTATAGATTATGTTCGGTATTTTATTCACTTGGGTACTCCCGAAAGAGACCGACCGCTAGCACTGATTTCATGAAACTATTTTGGGCAGGAGCCTCGTGTGCGGTTGGTCCAAACTTTGTCCCAGTGGCGTTTTGGCTGTGTTCGTGGGATCTGAGCGCTATTTGGACAAGTTGGGTGCTCAGATTCAGGCTATCCAGGGATGTATAGACTGTGGGAATGTCTATGTGGGAAATGGTTTTTTTTTATGTGTTTTTCATATTTTAAGTTTTATGCTGAGTAGTGACACTGTATTTCTTGGGCATGTTGTGGGTGTGTTTATGTGTGTCTTGGGTGTGTTCACTGTACTCAGATTTTGTATATAAACAGGCCATCTGGCCAGATTAAAACATTCCAGTTGTACTACCAGAACTGTCTGCCGTCCAGTTGCTGGGGAGGAGGTGGGATATTTCTTTGGTATTTTACTTGTTCCTGAGTTTACTTTGGTGGATCCAGCGGTGAAGAGTCCCTGTTAAAACCAAGGCTCCGCTACACCTCCGACAATTAGATCCTTGTGAGTTTAGCTGGCAAAAGGGTAATACTGCAAAATAACAGCCTTAAGGATAATGGAAAGTTTCATGCTCTGACAATAATTAAAGTAATTCTATAGTGTTAGGAATACAAATCGGTATTCCTAACACTATAGTCCATCCCCCACGCACATAAGGGGTTAAACAAAATCCTTTAGTCACTAACCTGATTCCATCGCTGGATTGCCACTCCGCCTCCTCCGATGTCATCCAACACGGGGACCTAATGTGTATGCGCAGTGAGCACTGAGAGAGCTTTAGGCCCTCCACATAGGAAAGCATTGCTTCAATGCTTTGTTATGGGGTTTTCATTGATGTCAGATGTCCTCATGCAGAGTGTGAGGACATCCAGCATTGTTTAAGGGACTCAGAGTGCGTTAGAATCCGGGAAGCGCCTCTAGTGGCTGTCTGATTGACAGCCACTAGTGGCAGTGTTAGTCCTGCAAAGTAATCATTGCAGTTTCTCAGAAGACTAAGTGGGACATACTTATGCAATAATTATGCAAGAATAATACCTAAATATACATGTAGAATTAAAATTATATATATATCAAAGCTCACAGAATGTAACAGGTTTTGAAAACACCTCATCTAGGTTACAATAATGAAGGGGTTTAGTACATGATCATACATTGAATGGCCTGCGACTACGTAAATGTACCCCATTTTGGCAGGTCCTACTTTACTAAACTAATGCCTACTCTTATGAGATTCATCAACTTATTTGGGAAATCCTTCCTCCTGGGACTCTCTGCAAGGCAAGGTTAAATAGGGCCCTGGAATGAGGCACCTGTGACAGGGAGGGGTTCAAAACTGGGGTGTTGTCCTGTACTCCCAAATATATCCACCGGACAACCCAGGCAGTGATTTAAACTGCCGATCAGGTTATGTGATCGCGATGTCATCCCAAACACATGGCCCGGAAGGGCTGGATTTGCCAGAGGGGTACTGTCTGGGTTGTCGGGTAGTCCTCCTGACTGGTATCGCTGTTCAAGGTAAATATGCAGGCCGTGGAGGCTTCTGATTGTTAAGAAGCAGTGTTTACATTGCTGGCAAGTAACATCTTTAGTGGCAGTCACTTAAACAGCCACTAGAGGTGCTTCCTAGTCCAGTGCTGCACCGACTTTCAGTATCTCAATGCACTACGTTCCCCAAAGAGATGCATTGATTCAGTGTGTTGCCACACTGTGCAATAGCCTTCCAATGGTTTCCTGTAGGAAAGCAATGGATTGGCTCAGATTATCAAGATCTAAGAAGAATCAATGACAGACTTGCTAACAATGGAAAAATAAATCAATAGTGAGAGAAAAAAAGAGCTTTCACCAAAGTTGAAATGGTTGTAGGGTACTAAGGGCATAACCCAAAATAGACATAGAAAGGAAGACTGAAATGGGTTAACTAAAGAGCAAACCCAATATACGTCCTAATACCCTAATCTGCCAGTAATAGGCAAAAGTGTGGCTTTTTTATTAGAGAGCAAAAAAAGAATTATAATTTTAATAAATCCCTAATTGGGTAAGAAGCAAAAAAAAAAAAAAAAGGATAAAATAACAGTGTGAGTATAAAGTGCAAAAAAGGAAAAATAAATAGTTAAAATAGGACCAGCTGCTAGTGCTTAGGTCAATGGTATTCAAATAGTTGGCTATCCACGTAGATGGAAATACAGACTGAGACAGGTTTGACATAGTGTTGAAAAAGGGTTGCAACAAAATGCTGGTCTGAGTCAGAAACTGGTAGAAAGTGGATACTATCAGAGGTATAATAGTAAGATTTCTGAGTATATATAAAGTGGAGAACACCCTGCAAGTAGAGTTATAAGTAACTTAAAATATGGGTCTCTCTAGTTCAAGGTATAAATTTAAAGAGATATACTTGTCTATACCTTAGGTGTAGAAAAATGAGTACATTTATTGGTGGCACGGTTTAGGAATATTTGGGGTAGTACAAAGCAGCGTGCCCCAGATTTTTTATAGATCAATCGAGAAGTTAGCAATGAAAGTACACAGAGTAGCAGTAAATTAGTCCCCAATTACAATATCCCAACAGTTCATAGTATCATAAGCTAGTTATTTTTTTTTTACTGCAAGCTGTGAATATAGCTCGCTCAGTAGTATACAAGAATATTATTGCGCCTCTACAGATGTAAACAAAAAAATGTTATAGAAGGAGCTTAGTATGCTATATAGACACCAAATTGGTCTGATAGGACTCCAGATAGGTGTCTAAATCGACAAGGGAAAAATCCCTCCCACAATATAGTGCTCGAAATACCAAGCGTAGCAGAAAGCTCTTGTATAATAAATATCTAGAGCAGAGTACTGGTTAAGTTCAAATAGATATTGGACGTATTTGCAGCATAATTCCTGCTCTAGCTTTTATAGTAACACTCTCAGGGAAAAGTGTTCAGTATTATGTAGCTTCAAAGCAGTTTAAAATATTAGAAGTAATTTGTAAGTTTCTCCCTGTTCTGACTTTGATGGTCTCAACCAGCCATCTCAAAGTAAACTGTCTAAGAAGATACGGTTCTAAACCTAGCTAAGATATTAGCTGTATAGTTCTCAATTAGATTCCCCCAGTCAACCTCCCATAGTTTCCTAAGAGAGATTGGGATAGAAAGACATCCAGCATCCTAGCGGGCTAATCTCCTGCCTCTACACTCACCTGAGCACTCACACCTTGGAGTGGGGACAGATTAGGGAGGCAGACCAAGGGGAGGAGAATGGCAGGAAATATGGGAGGCCGCCGCGACGTCCTCTGTGTGTGTCTCCATGCAGGAACAGTCATTTAAGACATTATTTAGATGGTACAGTACACTGGTGAAACTACATTGAATGCATAAAACTCCAACAGACTTGTGTTGGAGAGGATGCGGACAAAAGGGCACCTACATTCACATGTGGTGGGAATGTCCAGAAGCGCAGTCATAGTAGAAGTGGATAGAGGCACTAGAGCGAGATAGCTTTGAAAAAGAGGTCAAACTGGATCCACGGGTATTCTTACTGGCTAGATCCCTGGATGATTGGACACAAACAGAACAAAACCTTCTCCATAAGATAAACCTAGCTGCCAGATGAGCTTTGGCTCAGGCGTGGTTACAGAGGAAAACACCCACACTCCCCATGGTGATAAAAAAAAAAAAATCAAAGATACTTTCCTTATGGACAAACTAACAGCACAGGTTAGAGGGACGTTGAAAAAGTTTGAAAGGACTTGGGGCCCATGGATGGCCAACGCAGCTAGCGAATGAGGGATGGGCAGGGTGGACTCAGTCCCCCACGCATCCAGTTATCTCATAATAGAGGCCACGAGACAGCCGAGTATAGAGCCACCGTCTGAGGGGACTTCATGGATCCCCCTAGGAGACACTTATACACTGAACTACCCCAGTGCACACTCCCAATATGGTCCAGCAATTTGTCAGCGTCTCACGAGTGGCAAAATGGTCAAACCTCCCCATTACCCCCCCCAATCTCCCCCCCCCCCTCCTTTTTCCTATCCTATTTCTATTACTTTTCTATCTATCCTTACAGTCATCTTCGGACTCACTTCGTACGACCTTGCAGCGTAGATTTAACACTAGGGATCAAAGGGTAAGAATGAGATGGTTCAGATACCATAAGGCTCTTCACCACTCCTGAGTGGGAGGTGTCCACTGAAAAACTATCATTCCTATCTTGATGGAAAACATACGTATAGTTGTGCGCAGTTTCATTTTTATATATATATCAAAACTCAGGGCGGGTTGTCAGGTGTGGCACGTTTTCGAATTGGGCCACAGAGACACTGCGTGGTTTCAATGTACGGATTACTCATGTTATACCATTCCTGGCACTGCCTTTATTACATATACCTGTGCAAATTATTGATTAATGTACATTTATTAATATATGTCTGTTTAAAGCTAACGGAAGTTTTGTTTATGCTGTATCTTTCATCCTGTCTTGCAATATAAAAAAAAAAAAAGACATCCAGCAGTAGTCCTAATCTAAAAGAATCCACAGTAGTGGGAACTAACCCAACGCACGTTTCGGCGCTAGGATGCACCTTTGTCAAGAGCTCTATCCCAAACAAAAATTATTCTTGTGTGCAATTTTAAGTGTCTCTGGAACAGGGAATTGGACAATATAATCAAAAAGTAATACTAATCGATGCATTACTTCCCATGCAGCAACATCCCTAAATAACTAGCAGCTGCCCCTGCCCCCCTCCAAGGTAAGTTTGGGATGATGGTGCTGCTTTAAGAGATTCATTCCTGCAGGTACAGCACATGCAGATGGGTTTACGTAGATAACACTATGCTGGTTGAAAGGTACTGTAAATGTTTAAACTACATCTCTTTCTTTTTCAGAGGTGCAATAGAAGCATATACACAGTCTGTGAAAGCAAGAGAAGGCAAAGAGTTTGCTCCAGTTTATCCTATCATGGTCCAACTGCTCCAAAAAGCAACATCATCTGTGCAGTAGAAATTTCTACACCTGACAAAGAGTGAATCTAAAAGCCCTAGCAGTAATGTTTTTTGGATATGGTAAACGTAGACATTAAAATTCCCAATCTTATTTCTTATATATTTAATCAGTTATTTTTGTGTTTTGTATCAATAAGGGTTAGGTTCTGACACATACGTTGATTTTTTTTAAATGATCTCTGTATAATAAATTGTGCTTAGAAACTATTTGTGTTATTGATTATCTGAAATAATGAAACTATACCATCATTTGAACAAATTTATTTGAAATATACAAGTATATAATGTGCAAAAATTATAGGGGCAATATGATGACACACGTCAGACACATTGTTTTACAGCCGTGATTCTTGAATATTAGCACGAAGAGCCATGATTGCAGCAAGTCACAGCTATGCCACTGTAACAAAAATAATAAAAAATAAATGCATCTGTTCACTCTGACAGTTGCAGGAAAAAGTAAAGTGCGAGTGTTGCACCAGAGTTAAGTGCAAAGTCGTTCCCCTCCCCCTCCTCATCATAAATGACATTTTCTGTAGCAAAATAAAATTCTACCTGTAGCTTCTGCAGCCAACTAAATCACTAAACAGTTATGCTTTTCAATAACATTTGGAGGATTCTGTAATAGATTCCAGACTCCTGTTCACAAAGAAGCCAACGATCGACTTTCCATATAATGTAATGTAGCCGAGTGGTGCTGGATAGTCAGTTAGTGCATATGCACTTTGCATTAAAATGTCACGTCAGAAACTTACATATTCTGACGTCCAAATATAATTAAATCTGTGCAATACATATTAATAAGCAGTAGGGTCAATAAACAGCAGTTATATGGTCTATAAATTCCCCTTTTTACCTGTCTGTTTTGAAACAATGTTCTAATACACACCTCATTTTAGCACCACAGGATAACAAATTTCAAGCCTAGGTTACCAGATAATTTTCCAAAAATAAGGCAATTTGGTTTAAATATTGATATTTTGCATACTTAATGCTATATATATAATTTTTTTTGTTTAAAAAAAAAAAAAAAACGAAAACCTTCACTCGTCATTCTCTTGACAATTATACCAATTATTGTATCATCACACAAATTCAAAAAGACATTGTGATGCCAGATTTTCTTCCTCCATCCAGATGTATAGCATGTTCGACATAAAAAATTCAACACAAATATCTGTCAACATTCATGTTTAATGCTGTTGTGAACCCTAGGGAAAAAAATAAAAAGCAAAATTTACTAAACTAAAATAAAAAACATGTAAGGATATATATACATGTAAGTGTAAAAAGTAGAGAAAAGGGAAAAACACTCCTTGTGATTTTTGTTGTTATTAAATATAGTAGCTGTATCCTAAGGCTGGCCAAATAATATCCATCGGCCCTTGTTGCTGAACTTTCAAAAAATAGCATTGCATTTCCTTTGAAAAAGTAATTTCATCATTCTAGACATAATAAATATAAAACATATAAAGGGACATTCTAAGCACCATAACCACTACAGCCCTAACCTGATGCAGCATGAAGGTACACTGTTAAACCCAGAAAAGGCTGACATGTATTGGTTAGGTGCACAGAGCACTCTGTAGTGGTTTATGTTTATGGTCCTTTAATTTAAACTCAAAGGCATTATTCTCCAAAAAAAAAATCAGAAATGTTTTTAGTCTGGTTATTATGGCAAAAATGCCAATTAACCCCTTAAGGACTGAGCCAAATGTACACGTTTTGATCAAAATAAAACAAAACTTGGAATTTGCGCTACATGTCTGTCCAACCGTAATTCACCTCTTTCATATATCATTTTATTCAGCGGAAACAGGGCTTTCATCTAACATCAAATATTTAGCTATGAAACCTAATTTCTCAAAAAAGTTTTTATATTTTATTCATATTAAATTAAGAAATTTTATTATTTGTTTAGTTCTGCATCACATTTTAACTGTGAATGTCACAATAGTGTTTGCTTTTACTGCAATAAAATACAGATATGTATTCAGCAATGTCTCACGTGTAAAAGAGTACCCCAAGTACAGGTTTTGGGAAGTTACAGGGTCAAATATAGCATGTTAAATTTGTCAGTTTTTTCAAGTTGAAATTTGCCAGATTGGTTACGTTGCCTTTGAGACCATATGGTAGCCCAGGAAGGAGAATTACCCCCATGATGGCCTACCATTTGCAATAATAGACAACCCAAGGTATTGCAAATGGGGTAAGTCCAGTCTTTTTTAGTAGCTACTTAGTGACAAAACACTGGCCAAAGTTAGCGTTAATATTTGTGTGTGAAAAATGCAAAAAACAAATTTGAACGCCAATTTTTGCCAGTGTTTGTGACTAAGTGGCTACTAAAAGAGACTGGACATACCCCATTTGCAAAACTTGGGTTGTCTACTTTTGCAAATGGTATGCCAGCATGGGGGTAAAATATACCTCATTTCTGGGCTACCATACGGTCTAAAAGGCAACGTAATCAATCAATCTGGCGAATTTCAATGTGAAAAAACTGAAACACAAGCTTTATATTTGGCTCTGTAACTTTTGAAAACACCATAAAATGTGTACAGGAGGGGGTACAGCCATAGATACAAAACAAACATATATAGGAGAAACAATCATTGTAAATTGACTTACCCCAGGTGTACCATATCCCCTGAGTACCCCCAAGTGTCCTCTGCACATGCGTGACGTGCTCCGCCCCCACTCTGCGTGACCACGTGATATCCGTTGTCATGGAGACCAGAGACAAGCCGCGTCTCCATGGCAACCCGGCTACTCGCTAGCCGTACTCTAAAACACAGTGATCGTGAAAGATCTTTGGCAGTGATAATATGATTACCTTAATCCCTCAATTCCCAATTAAAAGCTAAAAGACAAAACAATTAATATAATATATAATACTGCAATTGGGATCTATATCATTAAAGTGCCCATATTTGTTTACATCCTCCATTTAAAGGGACGGTAATTACCACCAAATAAATTTAGTCCATATGTTACAACCCATACTATTATTGCAGTTAGTGCATACAGTACTCAAAAGAAACAACTATATAAAGTACATAGTGCTTAACCAAGTGATGTAAAGTGTTATTGGTCCTAAACAGTGCAACCAGTGATAAAAAGTGCTCAATTGTGTATATAAAGCACTACTACTAGCCTATATAATTCTTAATGATACTTTATGCTTCACAGTACAGCAAAATATATGCTAGAGATACTGTGGAGCATACTTAAAATCTAATGTGCAAATAAATTTTTTAAATGGGACCAATGTCAGTGCATATAAAGTGCTATGTGCTTATTAGCAATACACAAAGAAAGTGTGATAAAGGCAGTATATTCACACAAAGGGATAAGTGACATCCAAAAAGCTTTAATGATATAGATCCCGATTGCAGTATTATATTGTATTAATTGTTTTGTCTTTTAGCTTTTAATTGGGAATTGAGGGATTAAGGTAATCCTATTATCATTGCCAAAGATCTCTTTCACGATCACTGTCTTTTAGAGTACGGCTAGCAAGTAGCCAGGTTGCCATGGAGACGCGGCTTGTCTCGGGTCTCCATGACAATGGATATCACATGGTCACGCAGAGTGGGGGCGGAGCACGTCACGCATGCGCAGAGGACACTTGGGGCCGCGGGCGGCAGTACTCAGGGGATCGGGTACACCTGGGGTAAGTCAATTTACAATGATTGTTTCTCCTATATATGTTTGTTTTGTATCTATGGCTGTTGTTCCTGATGAAAGTCCCAAACGTGGACTGAAACGTTGAGCAGCTATTTTTAAAGATGGATGAATAAAGTCTATAACTTTTAATTACCTATTGGAATCCGAGAGTGCTGGTCATCTTCTCTATTGGTATGTGTAATCTCCCCAGATTGCAAGAACCCGGTTTAACTACTTTGGAGCCAGTGTGCAAGGATATTGTGGATTATTTTTTATATATATATATATATATATATATATATATATATATATATATATATATATATATATATATATATATATATATATATATATATATTTCAATCTAAGTGAATTTTGATATCAATATATATACATTTTAAAATACAGTTAGAACGAAATTATACATTTTAAAATAATTTTTATTTTCATGTTTAACGTATTTATATATTTAATTAATATAATTCTACGAGTATTTTTAATATATTATATATATAATTAAAATACACAGTTTTAACACTTTATTTTACTTTAATGCAGGCAGCAGGGGGACTACCTGTCATTCCAGGCACTCCCGCTGCTGGCACTGCTATGGATGGCTATTCTGTCCATGTGATCATGAGGTCCTCACAATCACATGCCCCAGGAGGGCCGGATCGGCAGCAGGGGGATTTCAGGTAAGTCCCCCCATCGCCGGCAAGCAGGTAAGTCCCCTGGACAGGCTATGCCGTCCGCTGGCGTTTAGAGCTGGGTTCCCAAGAATGGCATACCACACCTGCCGTCCTTAAGGGGTTAATAGTGAATCTGTTGACCTCAAGAGAATTATTTTTACTGGATTGTTCACTAAAGTTAGAATTCAAAGTGAGTTTAAATTGAAAGTAACACTCCACAGTGCTAATAAAAAAAAAAAAATTAAAAAAAATCACTTTTCCATTGATGTACCCCCAATTAATACATGCATTTTTCGTGCATGTATTCATTGGAGGTATATCTCAAAAGAGCTTGCAAAATTTGTAGTTTGTTATGTGTGTGGAGTGGTCTTTTAATGTCAAAATATTAAAAGCTATTAGCTATTCTTTCAGTTTGGCCACTCTGACTTTAAATTTGCAATTAATTTAGAATTATTCCTTTTAGTAAAAAACCCTTTCAGTGATATTACCATAAAATACAGGTATAGATAAGATTCCAATCTGGCAATTATAAAATATGTTAATATGTCATTACCATTAGAGTCAGAACACTGCACTTGATATATTACAGAATAGTACATACAATCAGTGTCATGGAATGCGGAGATACTGAACAGAAGAAACCATTAAAGCATCCCAAGAGGATAGATTGTAAACATACCGAATTTGTTCTTTTCCTTTTCCAACAGTCAGGATTTAAACGTTTTTGTTCTTCAGCCAGAGCTTTAGCTTCTATTGTATATATCCTCCTTTCCTCATTCTTCATTTTCTTCCATCGGTCACCAAGTATCACACTTATGGCTCTGCAAAGAGGCAGCACAATACAATAAAACACATTAACAACGCTCATTTAATACATAGGTATTTTTTGTCAGAAATTGTTCGTAATAACGTATATAGCAGTTAGTCACTTATTACAGTACACAATGTATCCCACACTAGCAAACTGAGAATTACCAATTAGAAATGAAAGTCTATCTCTAACCCCTCCCATCACCTAGATTTTTGCTTATGTAAACACTGCCAGCAACATGCTATGAATGAACACTCAGCTTCTATACCACTATATGAAGTACTGCTATGACAAACATTAATGGGACACTAAAGTCACCAAAGCAACTTTAGCTTAATGAAGCACTTTGTGTATAGATCATGCTCATTAAGTTTCACTACTCAATTCTCTGCCAATAAGGAGTTAAATCATGTTTCTCTCCATGCAGCCCTAGTAACACCTCCCATAGCAGTGACTGACACCGCCTGCATGAAAACAAAAAGGTTTTCATTTTCAATCAGATTTAAGTTACTTTAAAAGTTAATCTGTAAATCTCCTGCTCTGTAAACTGAACTTTAATTACATATAGCAGACTCCTGCGGGGTCTAGCAAGCTATTAACAGAGCAGGAGATAAGAAATTCTAAATTAAACAGAATTTGCAATAAAGGAAATGTAAACATTAGATGACTCTTTTCCTGAAGTGTTTAGGAGGGCTGTGTAAGTAAGATTCAGGGAGGTGTGACTAGGACTGAATAAACAAGCTCCTAAATGGCAGAGAACTTAGCAGTGAGACTGCAGGGACATGATTTATACACCAGAACTGCATAAATAAGCTAAAATTGTTTTGGTGACTATACCTGGGTCTACAACTTTCCTTTATCCAGGCAATTACAAAAAAAAACAAAATAAACAATTCTTAAATGAGTCCTCAAACAACCACCATTAGAGTGCATATAGTTTTTCACCCTTTACCACTGATTGGCTGAACTTTGTTGCGATCATTGTGAGCATTCAGTCAGGTAATATTTTTTTTAAGCATTAAATTCATACTTTGCATTTTCTTTTAACATAATGCAGCTCTTTACAAAGCTACGAGATCTATAATTCAGGTCCAACAGTAAAGCAGGACTGGTAATTAGATTTACGAACATATATTCCTGACACTATAGTCATGGTATGGGTGTTTAGGCGACCGGCCCTGCTCCGATTGCCTTGAAAAAGTGAATTTACACACCTTTTCATAATACCACACCAGACTTACCGCAGCTGTCCCCGCATCCATGGCTAAGATCAGCAATCTTGATGATCTCAGCGAATCCAACGCTTTCCCATATAAATGCATTGGGAGGCTATTATGCATGCATGGCAAAATACTGCACTGTGCAATTAGCACATTATCACAGAGAGAAATACAATCAATGCATCTCTATGGGGAGCATTCAGTTTCTTCATGTAGAGCATGAGACTGAGTGCAGCACTGGACTAGAAAGCACCTCTAGTCTGAGTGACTGCCACTAGAGGTGTTACTAGGCACCATTGTAAAACGGTAGTGTTTATATTGCTAAAATTTTCAAGGACAGGCTACAGACACCAGAACCACTACATTCATTTTTAGTTGTTCTGGTGGCTATAGTGTCCCTTTAAGTATAATCTATGCCAACTAAATCACTTGCAAATGACTGGATTAAAAGTATACTTACCTAAAGATTACATTTGCCTTACCATGGATGGTCAGTGGATATTGAACAAGGTGGCTGTGCAGCCATCCACTCCAAATTACACTGTCATATAAAGCACGTCACATGGAAGAATTTGCTGGATTCCAGTTCTAAACAGCAATAGAAGTGGCCACTTTTGTAGCTTTTCCTCTGCAGATAAGCTGGCCATCCAGGCACAGACAGTACATTTAACATTATGCCTACACATTTATTATCCATGTGATTAGCAGAGGATATAAATGAAGCCGCCAGTAATGGAAAATTAAACTATAAGAGTTTATCTGGAAACCAAATTAATCTGTTCCTATTTCGTCCCTTCCCTACAATCATCACAGCCTCGGTACCATTAGGTCCAGGCTGTGGTGATGTTGAGACTGTGAGATGAATCCTGGCTGTCATTGCCTATTGTCATCTGAAAGCAGTACTATAAAGTACCCTTCTCAGAAGACCCCACATAAATATAAAACATGGAGCAGGATTGTAGTTTTCATAGAGGCTCAGGTTAAATACTTTGCAATGATCTTTTAACAGTGGTGCTTATGTTTAAAAATAGATATAAATGTGTAATTTTACTTTAGACATTGTTCCATGATTTTTTTTGTTAACTGAAATCCATACTACTGTAAGTGCTTTACCGTTTGACCTCTTCAATGAGTACAATCACATTCTATAGGACAAACTATTTCACCTAGAACCATTGACAGTTTTCAAAATCAGCATAGATTAGATTCTGGAAATTCTATTGTAACAATGTTCAATGCATTACTTGATCTAAAGTCTAATCAGTTGCTAACCTGAATTTAGTGAGATCACACAATGCATTGTTATTAGTTTACAAATAAAATAAAAAAAATAAGCTAAATTAAAAATGCAGGAGGGGGACTGTTTGGACTAAATATCAGGGTGTTATCATTTGTGGCTAAAACCCACAAATGGTTTTATTTTATACATTGTTATTGGAGTAACCCATGACACCAATATGCAGGTTTATTTATTTTTTTAGGGTGTGAGAGGTAAGAGTGGGAGAGGGGTCAGATATTATGCTGGCCAACTTGGAATTGGCTATTATAGTTATTTATTTTAAGTTTAGCATTTTTTTCAACTATTTTGGTTCAAGTGGTATTTTAGGTGTGTAAAATATTAACTGGGACATGTACTTCATATTTCAAAATAAAAGGAAACATGAACAGTAATGTATGGATGAGAATCAATTTACCCTGTTGTCCTATTGCACTGTCGGATTCTATACACTTTCTCTTAAATTATCACAAATCCAAATATATATGTTCATTTTAACAAGTAACCATTTTAGCTGGTATCAACTAACGATTATTGCCTTTAACATATTTCTTACGATATGAAGTCAAGTTCCATTACCGGTTATCTTTTCCTGGATACATCTGAGTGTATTCAACTCTATACTTTTTGGCAAAAAGCATGAAGGCATTCATTGGTCTTTTGCACTTGTTTGGGGAGGTGGTAATCACAGAGTTTGCAGTCCCTGAGCTGTGGCTCCTGCCAGTTTTGTTAAATAATGTAGAGTAGGAAGTTTGTGAAGATCTTGGAGACGTACAGTCCTTGCTATATTCAGATCTCTCCGAATCTGGACTGCTCGCCCCTCCGTTGGATAAGGAAGCGCGGCGCTGACGTGCCATACTACTTAACACATAAACTGCAGAAGAGTCCATTGGGGTGAAGTCATAACTAGAAACAAAAGCACAGCTAATGAGTACTAACAAGGCAAACCTGTCATACTGCAATGTGTAACAACCTTAGCTTTAACAGTAATAAGCAGCTTGCTCACCGACATAGAATAACGCTGCTTGAAACATGTGAGCCATTGAGAATAAAAAAAATTAGTGGTGAAAGTTATGCACATTAAAAGTAAAAATTAGCTTGTAAAGGAATGGAACTCGAAATTAACTGGCAATTTATAAATGTTTTACTACGATTTTACAGAGCAATTATTAAGTTGCGAAGAATAAATTGTGGATCATTAACCACCAAATGGTGCCAGTCCTCCTTGCATATGATAAAATCAGAAAAATAAAAATGATTTATAAGTCATACCACGCACTATTTAAAAAAAATAATTAAAAAAAAGCTTAGTTGCAGAGTTGTATTTGAAGTTTATTTTTTTAAATTTAATAATACTGATATCAATGGGCATCTCCATTTATCATACCCACTACAGCTTACCGTCACAATGCAGATATGGGTGAAACAGTTCGAGAAAATAAATAAAAGAGAAAAAACAAACAAAAAACACCACGATGGACTCCCTAAAGCCTATTAACCTCTGCCACCAAGGTAAACCATTCAGCAGGAAAAAACATTCAGCAGGCTGCTTTTAAAAAAAGAAAGAAAGAGGGTAGGGTGGAGGGTAGTGAAATTTAGGTAGGGGAATTGGCATTTTGAGTAGAGAGCAAATAGAGGGTCAAGATAAATCCAGTCTCCTGTTCTGAAGACTGATAGGGCCAGGCAATCCCTTTTTAACTTACTTGAGGATGGTCTGGTCCCAAAATGAAAATAATATAACCTGGTGGCCAAAGGTCACCAAGCCACTGTCACCTTCCAAGCAAAAAATATATCTTACCTATCCTCCCGCGTAATCATTAGAGAGGACAACTAGGTTTACCCAAGTTTAAAAACAAAAACAAACAGAAGGTAAATAAAATATGATTTATTTCTTTTTAACATCTTGATTGTAGTCTTTATCTTCGGTCTAATAAAACAGGCCAAAAAAAAAATAAAACAAAAAAAGACCATGATGCAATTATAAGAAAATTTAAAAACATCATCAAAAACCTGAATGCTAAAAATAGTAAAAGAGAGAAAAAAAAAATAAGTCAGGCGGCTAAAGAGTTTCAAAATGAAAATCCTTTATTGATTTGCCTGTGCTAAAGAATTATGCTTGAAACACGATTTAGACTGCCCTTCTTTACTGTATTATCTTTACTTCTGAAAGGCTTCTCGATTACATACGGTTTCTGTAAAGGACTATTTTCAGTACATGTCTCAGATACATCGCCAAAATCCAAGACACTCAATCTCATGATCACCAGGCATTTTAAACATTCCTACTCAATATACTGATGTATGAGGTTAGTAATTAGGAGAATACAACAAAAGATTATGGGAATATTGTATTTATATTATTATTAAGGGGATATTTTATTTTGTGGTAGTGGGAAACTGTAAGCACTGTGCCCACCTCATCTCACTAAAGTGGGTTTACTGTCTGGAGATCATTGGCAACACAATTCCTCAGTGTTAAGCCATTTCTGAATGGTTCAACACTAAGCAAAGGTCCTCTCCTCTGTGCTGTTGGGCTACTGAAGAGCATTAGCCCGAGCAGCAATGCTGGTATAACTTGATATGATTAGAATGAAGAGTGTAATGTCTGCCTCAACCATACCTCCAGTGGGTGCCAGCTGTTGTTGGCAGGGACCCTCACATAATTAAAATACTGAAAAACACTTTAAGTACTAAAATCACTATAAATTATTGTAGTGGTTCTAGTACAAAGAGACTGCGCCTGCAGCATCAGCAATGCAAGCACTGCTTTTCCTAAAGGTTAGTTTTTACATTAGTCCCAAGACCACCTTTAGAAGCTCTCACTGCAATTTTTGCAGGACCGATGTTCAATGCCTTAATGCAGCGTGTGCATGAGTCTCAAAGATGAATTGATCTAATGCAGCTCTATATGGAGATGCTGTGCGGTAGTTACCGTTCATACTCACAAACCCCCCAATGTTTCCTTATAGCAAAGCATTATATTGGCTGACATCATCTGTCATTATGATCTCAGCCAAAAGGGAGCAGCAGTGAGATTTATTTACCTATTTGGGGGGTAGGAGAACACAACTATAATCTAAAAATTAAGTTCTTCACAAAAGCAATAAAGTTATCTGAAAATGTATGAACCTGTAGGGGGGCATTCCAGGACATGAGTATATGTTAATTATAGACTAATGAAAAATCTCAGTCCATTAATTGTCTCATTTAATGTAAATTACCCCCCTTTCATTATATTGTAAAGGGCAGCAGAAATAGTTGGTACTATACAAATACCAGTAATAATAACTTACACAACTATGGGACAGATCTGAAACAGTGCTTAAAGGGAAACTGTAGTGCCAGGAAAACAGAGTTTTAATATATATGAATAATGGTTTCCTATGGAGAAATCCTGATACGAGAGCGCCCATTGCCAACTTCTGCGAGGGAGGAGCAGAGGCGGGCCTGACGGATTTATATGATAATATATATATATATATATATTTATTATCATATAAATCCGTCAGGCCCGCCTCTGCTCCTCCCTCGCAGAAGTTGGCAATGGGCGCTCTCGTATCAGGATTTCTCCATAGGAAACCATTATTCATGTATAGCATGAGGACGTCCAGCAACCAAAAGTCGCCTAACAATCTGGAAATCCCTTTAGTGACTGTCTTCACGAGAGGAGGGGGTTACACAAAAAGGTAATTATTGCATTTTATAAAAAAAACTGCAATAATTACCTGTTCATGGTTCAGGGTGCTGGGACACTGGACCCAGAACACTTCAATGAGCTGAAATCCAAACTGAAACATTTAGGCTAGAATACAGCTTTGGATTATGATTCCAAAAGAGCTATTTTAGTTATCTTTTATGGTGATTGGTCTTGTTAAGCAATGGCCTAGAACATAATCCATTTTGCTGTAATAAACAGTGACATATAGTAAAATATATGTGTGAGCTGTATGTATGTGATTAAAATGTATGTGCATGCATTGTTTCTTAAAGTAGTTATGTCTGGCTCTCAACGTTAGACCTAGTGCATAGATTTCAGGGAAATCTGCAAGCACTCCATTAACAGTACTTTAACATAAACAAGGTAAAACGTGTGACCCCTTCTGTACTCTATATAATAATTTTTCATACATTTTGCTTTGAAAATAAGAAACGCAAATGGTATAAATTGAAGTACATCCATTTACAAAATAAAATGAGGCTAGGGTGGAATAATTTGTATTTATATAACAATTCTACTACTTCTGTAGCTTCCCTCCAAACATCAACAGTTACCTTTTAAATGTATCAAAAACACCGGAATCATCAAAATTTATGGCATCTGGGTGTCCAGGAGGTAGACATATATCACCAACATGGATTTCACAACAGGGAATGCCATGCTGAACCACAGTTAGGCTTGGGTGAAAAGATGACCAACCTGCAAATCATGAGCATAGTGTCTTTCAGATGAGCATGTTATATAAACAATTTGGTAAGATCCAGAATTACATTACACAATCTGACAGAAACATTGCTGAGCACCTTTTAGTGTATGTCCATTACACTTCCAAGCTGTAGTTTTAAATGAATTAGAGCAGTGTTCATGCACTCTCTTGTGTGTATACACTGGCATGCACTCATAGGACTGGTACACCTGTTTAAGTGAGTTTATGTAGAGGAACCATACATGTGAAGTAGACATTCTAGGAGCATTAGTTTAAGTGTTCTTTTCTAAAAAGTGGTGCAAACAATTCAGTATCATTGCAAGAAATTTGGCGTTTATAAAGAATGTCTTACAACAACCACACAACCTCTGCCCAACACAGATTTTAAGATGTTGGCTTAGCCCTTTTGCCAAGAAACATAACTATTTATTAGCCCACCTTATAGGAGCAGCTAATTCCTGGATCCCTACAATATGGAAGCAGGTGAGGATACCCACCCTGCAACAATGCATGTATCAAGTTGAACTTACTAGGTTTATGGCAGAAATTCATTGGTCAGCCACTGGCGACAGACATAAATACACTAAATTATAGCAACTGTGGCTTACCCACTTTGATTCCCTCCTATTAATGTATATTTGTTCACAGAAAGCAGATTCCTTGATTAATTTCAGTATTGGTAAACTATATATATTTTATTTTTTATTCTGCTTAGTCGTCGTTCATTCTACTTTGCATAGCAATGCTGTTGTAGAGCAATGAATTAATCGGTTGTATTTACAAGTTCTTTTAAGTTCTCTTTTTTAATTTCATGATTTAGAGTGGCTAGAAAATGCTACTTTTAGTAATTCCTAATTGGGATACTGATTGTTTCCTGTTCTCACACTGGTTTCCTTGTCCAAGATATGTAATCATATGTTCATTTTGCTTGTAATTTTCATCATTTGTACATTCTATTTTAATTCTACAACATTTTCATTACATCTATCAGTTCTTTACATTTTGAAAATAAACATAAGTTTTGTAAATATGTGAAAGTGGTAGAGTCACTAATGGAATGTGCCTGTCTGTTTCATTGGTTTCCATGGTGACTGTCCCCACTTTTAGTACTCGAGCCTAGACCAGTTTTTAGAACAGAACACACTGATAATTATCCACCCTAATTTCAAACACTGTATTCACCACACCAGAGTTTACGTGTTACAGTAGAAATTCAGTGTCCTTAAATGTACTGTTCATTCAGAAAGCTTTCAGTAGAGTCCTACTGGAAAAGGTAGGCTTTTTACATTTCGCTTTCCCCCAAATGCAACTACCAATCAAGGCACACAAAGTTTGTCTCAGCAAGTTTAGGTTGTGTTGCCTAACAAATAACACCCTCCAGGTTTACTTAGTCTATCTTAAAGTTACATTCTAAGCCGCCTAATCACTTCTTAATTAAGTGGTTTTGGTTTGTAGACTGTCCTTTTAGTGTGACAGTTTACATTTTACAGAAAATATGCCTTTAGAAGCTGTCAGAGTGACTTACCAGTCTTCTGAGTGAAGACTTTAAACTATTTAAAAATGTTAATGCTCTCAGAAGGAGCACTTTCTGTCAATAAAATACAGGATACAGAAGTACTGATATGTGTGCAGCATGTTTTATAGCCTATTTAACACATCACCTTAACAAAAAAGCAAAAAAGATAGAGCAAATCTATCAATTCAATTAGCAGATTAACACAAAACACCTTGAATGCTCTTTTGACACAAAAGGTTAATGCATACACAATATATCATGCACTCATTTACAATACCTTTGTTTTTAACATAAAAGGGATGGTCCAGTCTGCACTCTACTGTGAGCAAGCCATCTTCTGTTGTACCAGGGTCAAAAGTGAGTTGCAGGACCGATTCTCCATATGAGACACTCTCTTCGTGGGAGATCAGCTTCAAACCATCAGCACCATAACCCTAAAATATAAGAGATAATTTAAACACCACAGGGATAACAAAAAAGTATGTTCTAGTGGTTTATAGGACTACTGCCAATTCCTGGATTTTTAATATTGGGTTTATTTATCCTCTGTATTTAAACAAGTATGTGTTTAAGAGGTCTGAAAAAAAAAAAATGCCTCCATTTTTACTCAATGACAATCACGATAATAAGATCTGAATTTTGCACCTCTCAGTCAGCATAAAGAGAGGAGGAGAAACAGAAACAATGTTGTGTCTAGATTAAAACTGGGTTGTGATTGTTTTATCCAAATGTGTAATTTCCAGAGTTCCACTTTCACAGAATTCCCAGAAAACTTGCTTTAGGAATGATACTTCCTAGTATCTAATTTTACAAATATGCCATCAAGAATCCAAGCACTGCACTCTCTAATGTGTTCGATCCATGATGTGTTTCACATCACAATGGATTCTATAGATGCTATATAACTCAATAAATCACTAGTGTGGATTGCATTAGTGGGAAAATCATTATTATTGTCTTAAATAAAAAAATGAAAAGCAAACGACATGTTACTTTAACGTGTACTTGTCTTTACAGATAGATTTTTGCTGTTATAATTCTTTGGATACACATTCTTTCTCTGCTTGCACTTACGGCAGCATGGAGAACTGCTGGTAATTCAAGCCCCCAGACAGAGCTAGGACCCCAAGCAAACTAATGGTCCACGGTTTGCTTCTGTGATGTACAATGCATGTATTAAACAAAATGATCTATCACGCATAACTAAGATTTTACATTTTGATGTAGATAAAAGTCAAAAAGTTACATCTGATAAACTTGAGCAACTTAAAAATGTGGGTGGAAGGACTAGTTATAATAAAACTTTCTTCCCCTGAGTTTCAGTGGACTTTACCACCTCACATGAAGTGTTCCCACATCTAGCCAGTCTTCATGGCAAAGTAAGGAAAGTTATACACAACTCTCCAATTAGTGATCCTGATACCCTGTAAAGCAACATTAAAACATTTAAAACACAGGAAGCGCCAACGTTCCGACAGCTGGCAGTGATGCAGAAAGCACGGCTGCGGGTTAATGCTGGGACTATCAACCTCTCTGAAGTACTACATAAAACCCCACTCGCAACATACAGCTTGATCAGCCATCTCTTTTTGAAGTTCGACGGTCTGCAATATATCTCCTCGTTGTGGGACTAGGACATAACCCAGTTCGGAAAAGGCTAACCTGGCCATTCTGGGAGGGGCTTGTAGCCATCCACCTTACCTCCTCGAAATTGTGGGGTGCTACCTGTGTCACTACCTAATTTTCAGGCACTCTCTTCTGATGTTCCTGAATTCTCTCCAGCTTACAGTCATGTTACATGTAATGCTGATATTTGCATGTCCTATAATCTAGTTTTTTTATACTATATCTCAGTACCATAAGCATGTTACACAACCTACTTTAACCCCTTAAGGACACATGACATGAGTGACATGTCATGATTCCCTTTTATTCCAGAAGTTCGGTCCTAAAGGGGTTAATATCTCTATTTAAATGACTATGAACTTGCCTGCATAGGTTAGAAGCTTTCTCTCAATATTTACTCTAGACATGTCCTGCCTAGCCTGTACCTTATAGCACTTTGAAAAATTGTGCACTACACTAGAATGTCTTGTAACTGTTATGCTTTGACCAGTTAATGTCTTGCCATTGCTGTTACTCATATGCACACAAAAAATAAAGAATAACATTTTTTTTAAACAATTAAGTATAACACTTGAAATTATAAATGTACCTTATGAGTTCCTGCTGTCATTTCACGCTCATTTCTATAATGTGCCATTTTGACAAAATCTTCTACATCATGCCACTGCTTTTTACGGCCTTTGTGAAAGCATAATCGTGTGCCTGGAAAAACAATTAGTATTGCATAAGATTTCTAAAAATGGAAACATGCTAAATTAATCCAATAAATCTACACACAGAAGTGATATTACACAGTCTTAGTGATTGAAGATTATAGTCCATGAACATTTTTTTAGATGAAGAGCTTTCATGTTAACAGTTTGACCCCTTGCTGGTAAAGTACTAATTTTAAAATAGCACACTAAATGGAAGTAGTGAATGTCCAATCAAGAACTAGAGGATGTTTTACCATACTGATTATTTGATTGTCTAGTACAGCTCTCCAAATAACTGCTAATAGGAAAATGTGCACATAACTGATTAAATTAATCTGCAGCAAAAATGCTTGCACTGACATTTTTATATATATATAAAATGACCCAGCTTGAAACCTAAAACCTACTGCTAAACTTACTGAGCGGGCATTTATTCACTGGCAGTGCAAGAACACAAATTTACTTTATCCACAGTATGTGTAATGGTAAGGGCAATATAGCCTGAGATTAGTAAAACAATCCTTTTGTGTTAAAAACCAAGGTGTTGTAATCTCACTTCTATCCCAGAGATCTTATATCAGGCCAATACGCCCTTCTTATACGGGCATTGACAGGCTACATGGAGAGGTGGACAGACAAACAGATTTTCTGGATGGGCAGAATTCACTCAATAAAAATGAACATCCTCCCCTGCATACTATTCCTATTTCAGGCCCTACCCCCACCAATTACAAAAAAAGACCTAGCACCCCTACAAAGAGAACTAGACAGGTTCATATAGCAGAACAAGAGGTACCGTGTGGCACGCAATATACTATACTGCCCCAAAACTGCCGGAAGTCTGGGACTCCCACACCTCCATTACTATGTGGCAGCCCAACTCACACAGGTAGCCCAAATCAGAGGAGATGGGTGGACTTGGAGTCCATGATGATGGGCGCTGACATCCCACAACTATATATATGGCTTCCAAAAGAACATAGGCACCACTGCGGACCACCTGCCCGTCTATCACCAACTCCATCCGCGTCTCCGCATGAAAACACGACCGGATGTCCTTCCCATCCCCCATGATGCCCCTACTTAAAAACAGAGTCTTCCCCCCGGGCATGAGAGCACAAGACTATAAGGGCCTAGAATATGCACGACTGCAACGCATACACCAGATATATATAGGCGACAAAGTGATCTCTTTTGACGAACTTAAAACTAGATACAAATTAACGACCACAGACTTCTTCAGATAAATTCAAATGCGAGACTTCGCGAGCTTACCACACATAAAGCAAACAGCCCACCTTTAATGAGACATATCAGAAAGGTCTGATCAGCAGCATACACTCTCACCTCTGCTCCACCACCACGGACTTGGGGGAGTTGACCTATAATAGATGGGAGGCGGAACTGGAAAAGGTACTGGAGGGCATTGACTGGCAGGACATATGGGAGGCCAACAGTAAAACATCGATTTGCGTGACTATATAGGAACATGCCTTTAAAACAATGTTCAGACGGTATACAACACCGGTGAAATGGTATTACATGCGCAAAACTCCAACAGACCAATGCTGGAGACTGTGTGGGGACAGAGGCACGTACCACCACATAGGGTGGAGTTGCCCCCTAGTGGCTACATTTGGAAGGAGGTGGAGAGGCTAGTCTCCCAGATCCTGCAAAAATATGTTAGTCTTGACCCATGGGTGTCCCTGCTATCTAGACCAATAGACGGCTGGGCAGGAGCAGAGATGGCTCTATTATGCAACATTACATCAGCGGCCCGTAGAGCCTTAACGCAGAGTTGGCTGCAACCCACGACCCCAACCATGGCCACGGTACTAATTATACTTAAGGATAACTATCTCATGAAAAAACAAAGAGGTCATGTCAGGGGGACATTAAGTAAGTTTACTCGAATGTGGGAGCCATGGGAGGCTTACTCAGGGACACTGGGAGGGACTTAAGGAACCAAGCACTTCACCTAGATGCTGTCTCGCGTGGCTGGAAGGTACCGCATGGCTGCCCTTCCGCTCCGCTGACCTGCTCGCTACCTACTCCGATTACGACCCGAACCTCCCCGTTATTTTGTAACTTTCTCTGTACCTCCTCTATCTACCGTCCTACTATTCTCCTGTTACATCTCCTCACTCCTCTTCCCATTCTCCATGGGACTAAAGCTACTCATCGTTCACTCAACTCGCATTGAAACACATGTACAAGAAACAACAAAAGGACAAAAGCTTATAAGGCGAATACAAAAAAACAACTTAGAATCACATACAATCTCAGCTCAACTATAGCCGTGACCAACATACCCGTTGCCACATAATTTGCGACTTCCAAAGCCTTAAGTACGACTGTTATGTTAATGCAATGTTACTTGGATTCAAAGCTCAAAAGATATTGCAATGTTCTGTGTGCAACTATTTTCACATAGGTGATTGTGAACTATATTACTGTATTTGCTAGCCTCGCTAATACTAGCAAAAATAAAGAATTAAAAAACAACAAGGTGTTGTTAGACCCTCAGCACTGCATTTTATGTTAGAAAAAGAGCAAATATCCTCCAATGCATTTCATACTTTTTCTGCTCCAGAGCAACCAGCAGTTGTTAGTGTTTGTTTTGTTTTTGCATCTGTCTGACACCTGCAGTCCTAGGCTAAATTATCTGCTATTTAGGAGTTGAATCAGCTTGTTTATGCAGCTCTATTAAACACTGCCCCTGCATGTGACCTATACATCTCCTGTAAAAAAGACCCAATATTTAAACTTAATTTATTACACAGTCTGTTTAACTAAGAATATCTTATACCCTGCTCATCACTGCAGAAGCCACCTGTGTGTGATTAAAGTTATATTAAAATAACCTAGCAGGAGATAAAAACCTTCTAAAGAAAACACTATGTGCTGTTAAAGCTGATTCAAATTAAATATTCTTCAAAGCCAGGGGAGGTGTCACTAGGGCTGCATAAACAAAGGTATTTGACTGCTAAATGCATTCTGTTCATTAATAACTTACTACATCCAGTGTTGGTAGTGTAAAATAACATGGTAAAGTTACCTTTCAAAAAGCAATGCCAAACAGTAAGAGGCCAAGAGTGGCACCATCCTAAATCATCATCATCAGAAAATGAGGACATGCAGAATATGCCAGACTCTGATTCACTATGTGCCTAGGAAAAAAAAACAAACAAAAAAAAACACATATGGCAAGCATTATTAATAACTGAAAAAGATTAGGTGTACTTTTCCATTTGATTAAAAGTAATATAAAACTTTCCATTCATACTGTGCATGTAGGTCCTGTGCAGAAAAATACTGCAAGGACTCACAGACTAAAACATATCACACCCATCATATTGAGGTTGAGTGGGGTATTGGTGAATCTACGTCTCTACTGGTGAGACGCAAGTATCTTGGTTAAACCGTACTAATATGTTTTCACTACCAACCATGTGTAATTCCAGGCCCCATAACTATTACAGCAGGCTGCACTGGTTAGGGTGCTTGAAGTGTTCCTCTAAACAGAAAGTGGTACTCAATGCAGATGATTAAAAGTGCTTTGTCCGAAGAAAATAGAAATAAAAATGGAAACCCACTCGTTGGTGTCTGACTGATGGCTCCTCCTTCCAATGACTTTTGGAGGTTCTGGTCTCTCTGTCTGGGGAAACAGGTGGAGGCCGGGCATAGGAATGTAAACTTTTGCTGGTAGCAATTATGTGAACTGGTGATGATCTAAAATAAAGAAAAGCCACATAATTTAAATCTGCATAAACAAAGCAATAATGCACTATGGGTGAAAGAGGAAGAAGGGTTAGAGAGGCAGAAAGAAGGAAATGTTAGAAAGAAAGGAATAAGAAAACCAGTTACTGACAAATATTAAAGTTCCACTTCAGCATTTATCATATCTATGGCATTATTCAAAAGTAAACCAATAAAAATATTTCAATTGCCATATCTAAAAAAAAAAAAAAAAAAAATGATATGTTCTGTAAACACAGATAGTCCTAGCTGTTCCTGTAATGTACACATCTCAATATAAAGTGGAGCAATGAACATTTCAAAGAGAGATTTCTGTGGAGAGATTTCAGTCACCTCCTGGTATCTGAAGATGCCCGTGCCAAAAACATCTAGTCCCTTTGGATCTGGAGAAACAAAAATGTAGAGCTGGTGTACAACTTCAATTCACATGATCTCTTTCCAACTTACAAATCAGAAAGCATCATGGGATATGTAATGTTTGACCATGCCTACTGTAGAAGGTTCAGATGGTAAACTTGTTTGGGCAGGGCCCTCTTCACATACTTTTCCCATGTCATACATGTTTTGTTAAAATTAAAAGCTCGTCATTTTTCCTATTGTTCAGCACTGCAGAAAATGTAGGTGCTATGCAAAAAATTGTAACTGTAATCCACACAGTATCCAAGACTGAATATACTGTGATATCTTAAATATAAAATCACAGGTGTTCTAAGATTCTCAATGATATCAGCATGTAACAAAGTGCTTTTGTTCCTTCGAGTCCCACACTGCTGCTCATGCAAAGCTAAAAAGCAGTTTCACCACAGTACACAGCTTGCATGAAAGAATTAGTTTAATAACTGAACCATTTACAATTTCAAAACAGATTTGGCAGACAACATATTATTGAGTAGTTTCCAATACATTTTTTATACAATAAAAACAAGTAAAACGAATGAGGACGTCTTTTACATTTGTTAGATTTTTTTTTCTCTCAAAAATAAAAGGAGAAATAACAAAATAAAATGCATTTTGACTTATTTTAGTATTACAGAATTCGTTTTTGTATAATATATTAAAATAGCATAGAAAGTGCTTACCTGTTGTAGAAAGTACATTGCATTAAGGGACTTTCAGGGCTTGTTGCTATGTTAGCCAGCTCTGTCAGCCAATTGACCCCGTTGTCATATGGATAGGCACTTTCAGGCATATCTGAGGTATTTTGGTTCCATGAAGGCACTGTATAATGTTGATGTGAAATATTTGCATCCAGGTGGAAAATCTCAGGTGATGTGGCATCAGCCTGAACGGCTTGCAGTTCTGGAAGATCATCTGTAACACAAGCACAGTTTAAAAAAAAAAAAAAAAAAATCTAGGCTCTATTCACTGAACAATTTGACTGTATTAATACTCATTTCAACATAGTTGATAAAATTCAACTGTGCTTCACTGTAAATCACTTAACCACGTAGAAACCATACTTGCTATTTTCAAACTGATCTCATGCAGCAATCAGATTGTTTGAAGAAAACCCAAACAAACAAACTGCAAATAGATTACAGAATGGCATTAAGAGATCTTTGTTGGCAATTTTTTATGTTTTAGAATACCTGGCCTGGGAGGGTGGTTAGGCTTATCTTTCGAGCATGAGAAAAATACATTTCTGGTAAAAAAAAAAAAAAAAAAAAATTAAATTAGGAGACTCAGATGTCTTCTTATTTTGGACCAGTTTTTTCCCCACACACCTCTAAATCTCTGCAATGTTTTAGACCCTTTTGGCGCTTAAAAAAATAAAAAATAAAAAAAAAGTCCTTTCTATACACATAGTTTTCTAGCACACTTTGGAATTGCAAAAAATAAATATTAAAAAAAATTAATATATATATGCACATATAAAAAAAAAAAATAAAAATGAATACCTTAATGGATTAAGTGCAAAATTCAAACAGTTGTAGAGGGAGAGATGGTAGTTGAAGTCCAGAAAATAAGCAGATGAAATAGCAGGTGATCTTTAAAATGGATTAAACTAAAGCAGGCAGAGTGATTGTGTAGTAGGTACACAGGCAAACAATTTAGAATACGTTAGCAAAGTTGGTGGCAAGTCCAGTAATCAGAGGTTTGGAGAAGTCAGCAGAGTCCAGAAATCAAGAAGGGGTCAGCAAGGAGGGAGCTCAAATGACAACTTTGTATTACAAGGTAACAAAATAACTGAGTGATACAAAGTTGCCATAGTTTCCCTATGACATGGCTGAGCGCTTCGTTAGAGGGAAGTTCTGTTCGGGATGACGTTTGGACCCAAAAGCTTGTTCGAGGGAATCACGAGTTTTGTCATTTCTGACAGAGTGAGAGAGTGAATGAATGTGCGTGTAACAATGCAGTGTTATAGTGTAATAACTTTAAAAGCACCACTTACAGTCATGTGTTCTTTTATCAATTTTGTATTTTATAGGGCATATCAACATTTCTTCAACATTGTGTTTACTGGATTTAGGCATCATCACAGTAACAGCGAAACAAATAGTATCCTGACTAAACCAGTGGGCTTTGTGTGCATAATATACAATTTTACAAGCCTTACCAAGTTCCATATGATCATCAGAGGATTCATAGCCTGGTGAAGATGGAATACGTTCATTGCACTTTAGCATTTCCAATGAATCATTTATTACTGTAGACCTTTTTTCCATTACCAATTGGACTTTTTGCACTGCGTTGGGCATGTCCTTTGTCTTTACTTCCCACACCATATTATAGTACTTTAACTGGAAGAGAGTGTTAGAATTCTGTTAAATTGTTAATTTCCTGTTCATGGTGTGTAAACATTCAAGCAGTATTTCGAGTCTACAGTGTGTCAAGGAGATACCTTAAAGAGACCAGACCACTACCCCCCCTGGGAAAATAGTACAGCACTGACCCTCTCCCTTGCTCTTCCCTGCCAGCCCATGCAGTGCTGGCACTATTAAGGCACCAACCCTGTTTTGTGCCTTCACGGACTGGAGGGGAGATTAGAACCCGGAGTTCAAACATGCAGCTCCACTGGGTTCTTCTCTCGCAAACTTGGTGCATTGCAGTGGTTACCATGGCAACACTCCACGAGAGTGAATTCTAGTTCCAGGAGCTGCAGGTTAGAGTACACTCACCACAAAGACCACCATGGCTTGCAGCAAGGACCCCGTCCCTGAGCAAAGGTAAGAGATAGGGGATATAAAGATCACTTAATCAAAATTATATATAATGTTTATTTATATATTTTAAATAAATACATTTCCCCACCCCCCTCACACAATACAGTCCTGCTGATACTACCTCATTTTGACCTACACATATCCTGAGACAGGGATTATGCTGTCTGTGGACAATTCAGCAGAACTCGAAGATAGCTCTGAATAATGTGAGTGAGTTCTTTACAGCAATCTGAACAAATATCTTTATTGAATTAGACTATTGCACTATTTGCTCTGTTTTTGGTTCTTTTTGAGGTGAATCGGAAAAAATGTAAATATCTCAGTGGTCTATGTATAAGGTATTAAGTGTACTTTATAAATATATTTTTGGCGCGGTGTATCCATGTTCTTTTTTTTTTTTTTTTGCAATAAACAGTTTTTTTTTTTAATTTGAGCCCACTATTCTTGCAGAATGGAATGAAACTGAAATAACTTTTTTTTCCTTTCTTCACATTCTGCAAAGAACACTCCATAACTGCAAACATATTTTACAAGTATATGAACATGTTCATCTGCATGAAAAAAAAATAAAAAAAATTGAAAGTAGAAATGCGCACTCACTCCTAGAACTGGGCTCCTCCATACTAGCTCCCTGTGAAGCACTGTTATAAATGTTTCTCTTTTTTTTTCATTAAGCACAGCGTGAGGGGTGGGGGGAATAAGTACATACCAAGTGTACTGTTCTCCTCCTCATTTGCATTGTGTACTCTGGCTGTACCAGAACTTAAATGTGCTATCATGTACTAAATCTTGGGGGGGAAAACAATTAAATAAAAATATATATACACACACACACACACACACACACACACCCCCCCCAACAGTTGTCGTGGTGAAAAGGTATGGGTGAGAACCCCTTGTACCTGAAGTAAATGGATAGTTAATACATTGCTAAACACAAATACACACACCAGTCAAGCCATAAGACTGGTGTATGTATTTGTGTTTAGCAAGTCTTGTGGCTTGACTGGTGTGTGTTTAGCTATATATATATATATATATATATATATATCTAAATATATAAATAGTTTAGGATTTTTTATTATTTTTTTTTTTTTACAAATGTGTAATTTCTTGTGAATTGACAGCCAGCCATAGTGACTGTCCACAAAGGTCTGTTGATGTCTGTACTAGAATCAGTTGAAAGAAAATTAATAAACATGCAATGTCTGCTTTTCCATTTTTTCCCCTCCTTGTTAAAGGAGCACTCATGGCCCCTCATGGCCCCCCTCCCGCTGTGCTGAAGGGGTTAAAACCCCTTCAGCCACTTACCTTTCTCCAGCACCGGGGAACTCTCCTCCTCCTGCCGACGTCAGCGCCGAATGTGCATGCACGGAAAAATCCGCGCGCATTCAAACCACCCATAGGACATCAGTGTCTTCTCACTGTAATTTTCACAGTGAGAATCGCGGAATTGGCCTCTAGTGGCTGTCAGTGAGACAGGCACTAGATGCTGGATTAACACTCAGTGTAAACATAGTTTCTCTGAAACTGCTATGTTTATAGCTGTAATGTTAAAACTAGAGGGACCTGGCACCCAGGCCACTTCATTGGTCTGGGTGCCTATAGTGGTCCTTTAACTACTTTAGAGTAAGGACTACGTAACTTTGTAGCCATCTGGGCTTGGTTGGTTGCAGCCTGTACAAATAAAATCCACACATTTTGAAAAACTTTTTTCACTTTTCAAGAGATTCCATAGGATTGAACAAACATGGTACATGGTAAGAAAGTGGCCACATCTTAAAGAGCCTTAATACTTATTAGTGAGAACACACACAGCAACTGACTATCAAAATCTCTGTTGTATATGCTGCTTTGTCCGTTTAGAAGAATTAAGAATATAGGACAGGGATCACAACTGTATGTTCTAATTATTAGCCAGGTTTAAAAAAAAAAAAAAAAAAGTGACTCTCTATAGTGTTCATATGGGAGTATTTAGACATATGCACTCCTGCGCTATATACTATTTAGGTAATGACGAGGCATGTTTGTGTGAATACAGAGCTAGTTTTGTATGGAAGGCTTGTGAGTGAATTTCTTTTACCAAAGCACCATACAACCAGCCCTTTACATGTCATTATCCTACTCAACTTTCTCATATCACATATATGTAGCCTATGCAGAAGCCTCTGGTTTGCATTCCCTAATATACAACATGCCAGGTATATTGTCACTCAGTATGCCTTTAATTTAACAGAAAGTGGTCCGTGTGCAGTACCCCTGATGGGTTATCCCACAATGCAAAACTGCCATTTTGGAGATACAGCAATGTTTACACTTCTAGCAGCAGTTACACTGACAGCATCTAGCTGGTGCTTCCTTATTGAGAGCGGAGTCAGACTTTGTTCTTGTATTGCATGAGTACGTCAAACATTTAATTGAAGCTTCATATAAAGAAGCTAAAGGACAGAAAGCTTCTCTATAAGAAGCATTTGATTGGAGGAGCCCAGTGCTTGCTGTGAATGTTTTTGTCCATAATGAATTTGACTGGATAAGAAGTCAAAGAGGAGTCAGCAAGGACTCAGTCTAGGCATGGGTGGTGGGGGGGGGGATGTCAAAACAATTTCAAGATATTATCTAAATAATCTCCTTTAAGCATACCCACACTTTGGATTTAATTAGGTAAGACAAACATTTTTTTTGTATGTCCCCCACATGCACATCATACTTTGAAAATTAAATGGGCCCTCCAAGCACTAAAACAACTTCATCTAAATGAAGAAGTAATGGTGCCAGGAGGCCTCTAGGATCATTCTTACCTCAAGGGATTAAACCATTCTCAGTTTAACCCAAAAGGGGCGACACATCCAGGGGCGGCACTGTTTGGCTGAGAGCAGTCAGCTGACACTCCCAGCCAATTAATGACTCCCTATTCACAAAACTGGCTTGGAAAAAGTGAGTTTATTTCCAAACCAGTTTTGTGAATGGGGAGTCAGCTGACTGCTCACCTCCTGACACCATAACAAATTCATTTACATAAGGCTGATGCCTCAACTGTCCCTTTAACAAAGGACATGAAAAGTCCTGGGAAATTATTGCAAGGCTTTTACAACTGCACTCATACTCCTTTGCTACACAGCCTTTTCCTCTCCTCAGCGTTTTATCACTTTTAGCTGCGATGTAACCTAACCACAAAAATCACATGTTTGTTTCATAAGCCTTCACACTCCCAAAATTTGGTTTTACATAAACCTGGCTCCTGTCAGCTGCTTCTGGTTTTCTCAAGCAGGATGCCATCTTAAGTATCTTGGCATTTATTCATTGGCTGAGAGCATCAGTTGAATGCCCTCAATCAAGCTGCACAAACCCCAATAATGAACAAAATTGAAGTCCAGCTTCTGCAGTTCCAACAAGACTGGGAGCAGCGCACGGGACAGGAAACACCATAACTACTACAGTGAGCTGTTTTTATGCTTGGAGAGTGTTCCTTTAAATCAAGCATGTTAAACTCGCAGCCCGCATGCGACCCACAATGAAATGCTTTGCGGCCGCAAGTTTGACATGCTTACTGTTAAGGCATTGCAGGTGCCTACTCTGCTAAAATTTACCCGGCTGGGGCGAGAGGACGCTGGCTGCAGCGAGGGAGGTCAGTCTGTTCTTCCTGCTCCTCACTGCTCCCTTGCATGCGCCCTCTGTAGCCATGCCGGAATATGACAAAACTGCGCGAGGAAGCAGTGAGGGAGACCTCCAGACAAAAGATGGACCCCAGGGAGAGGCCCCACATCAGCTCCCAAAAGTAGTGAGCAATAAATAAAATGATTTGTGAGTGTGTGCAAGAATGTGTAAATGTGTGCCTGTCAGTGATGCGATGGCCGCAGCTGGACAGTGGTACGCAACGCCACATCACATTCCAATGTGATGCCAACATGCTCCACCTTCACAGGGTTTCAAGGAGTAGTAGGAGAATTCGCTTTGGCATAGGGTGTGGATGGTGCCATTCGGGGTATACCAAAGGCTGAACTCCGGAGTCGCATACTGGCAGCGGCAATGTGAGTAAAGTCTGTTTGTTGGCTATTTTTTTTTTTTAAAAGAGGTCCAGGGGTTTAGTTGAGGGGGATGCTTTTTTTTGTTTGTTTTTTTTAAATTTTTATTTATACTGTACTTTTCAAAATAAACCTAAATTTCTATGAAAATTTAAGTTGTTTTTTTTTTGTTGGTGGTCTACATAAACTTAAACCTTGTTTATGTGGCCCGTGCTAGCCTTTGAGTTTAACATGCTTGCTTTAAAGGGTTACTCTAGCCCATTTAAATGGTTATGATGATCACAGTACCCTGGCATGGTTCCCCATTAATGTGGCAAACAATATTGCAACAATTTGCCATCTCACACACCGAGCACCAAGCCTCCTGTAAGCCAGGAGACCAGCATCCAGCTTCTGCACCCTAAAAAGTAATGGCTAGGGTGCTTAAAGAGTCTATGGGTGCAGTTCTCCTGGTTTGTATTAAGCCATAATTTATCATTGCTTTACCTGCTGCTGACAGCCTAGCTGCTGTATCGTGGCTTGGCTGATGAATAAGTGATTTTACCAGACTACAACAACTGGCAAACAAATGTTCACTTCTACTTCAGCTGTTGAAGTTAGGGCACTTAGAATCTCCCTTTATGTTCCAAGCTAATCTCTAAATTTATTTAAAAACAGTGACATCCAGTGGTCATAAGGCAGTATTACAGAAACAATTAAATTACAGTGCAAATAAAGAATTGCAGAGGAATGTGTAGGGATGTCAACAGGTTCAAGAGCAACTATTAGTGAGGGTAAGATAAGTGTTGTGCTAATACAGAATATTACAATCCAAGATTTAAACATGGAAAAGGCACATGTTTTTGTATAATCTCTTACCAGTACTAGATTTGTAAATGTAGTAGTATACCAATTAGCATTCATTTTAGTGTACTGTTGTAAATTCAGGTGTAGGGATGTATGGCATGGTTAATTTAACATCTATCCTAAAATGATAGGATATGTAACTTTTCCGGTCAAATACATCACCCAGAACTTTAAAAAGTTTTATCAAAATAATCTGCATTATAATTTACACAAATCTCTCAAATGTTTATTCTTGTGGGTTTGCTTAAAAAGAAACATTCCATTTATTTATTTTACAGTTTAGTCGATCTATACAAAAAAAACATATGGACTTGCTTTTGCTTCAATTGAAAAAAAGTTTTACTGAAATAGGCACTTTCATAAACATGATAGACTCCAGTCACATAAGCACTATATGTGCCTAAAGTGAGCCTGTAATCTAAAGATTGAATTTCATGCAATCTTTATCACAGTAGAATAACTGCATATACTTTTGGAGTCAAAAAAAGTGCACTTCCCATTGCATGCCATGTTTCTTTGTGACCATTGTTGTGAAAATAGACAATGTAGCACTGCATCTTTTACAGTACAATGCCCTGATAGAACAGAGCACGATGGTGACCCACAAATTGGACCTGTTGCTTAGAAGTTTGTATGGTATGTATTAACTCCAATATTACATGTCCATATACCAAACTTCTGCTGGTCACAAGATCAAAAGACATCCCCTGGCTCAGCTCCATAGACTGCAAGGGAACATGCCTTCTATGAAGTGTGCAAGTGAGAGTACTCACTGCTAAAATACACGGATGTGTGTAAGGGAGCCCAAATGCTGCTTTAGCAAAGAAAGAGGCAAGTGAGAGTGGGGCTGTAATGTGAGGAGTAACAGACAACTTGAATTTACATTTACTTCAAAATTTCAAAGTCTCAAACTTAAGGCAGAGTAGTTTTAACTGATTCTATGGTAACGAATACAAATTTTTATTCCTTACACTATAGTTCCCTCTGGTCACGTCCCTTGCACACATCCTCCTTCCCCTCCACCCCCCTTTTAACAACTATCTGGTTTTTCCTCTTCTAACAGTGGGGGATAAAGAGTAAGCAGCTCAGTTCAAGCACCCTCACCATAGGAAAGCATTTCTTCAGTGCTTTCCTGTAGGGATTTTACGGATGGTGGATGTCCTCATGCTGTGCATGAGGACGTCCAGCGTAAGGCAACCAAAAGTTGCTTAACCACCAGGAACCGCCTTCTAGTGGCGGTGTGATTGAAGCAGTCTTGCAGTGTCATCATTACAGTTTCTCAAAAACTGCAAGACTAAGTGGGACAGGGACACTGCACCTAGACAACTTCACTTAGCTGAAATGATCTGGGTGCCTATAATGTCCCTTTAACTGAAAGAAAAGCAAACTTACAGAATTTCTCCATTTCATCAATGTTAACCTATAATTAAAAAAATAAATAAAAAAAAAATTCATTTTGAATTCTCCAAAGTTATCACTTTAGTAAATAACCCTGCTAGCAGGGTCCTGACAATAATGTTTAAGCATTTTAAAGAGATCCACAACGATGGTGCTTTGTGTATCAAACCAAGTGTTTGTTTATTGGAGTATCTGCTTCCTTCCAAATTGTTTAAAATAGAAAACGTGCACGCTCTGAAGTAAATCACACTGAGACACAAGTTTCAGGCTGATGAAAAACTTCGGAATGTTTAATCAGGGGGACGGGGAGCCCCTTATAAAAGGCAGAAATACATCATATGCAGAACATGAGATAGCATTTACCAATTAAAAACACACTTTCCATGTTAAAGGACCACTATAGTGCCAGGAAAACACTAGTTTTCCTGGCACTATAGTGCCCTGAGGGTGCCCCCACCCTCAGGGTCCCCCTCCCGCCCGGCTCTGGAAAGGGGAAAGGGGTTAAAAAAAAAAAAAAAAATACCTTTTTCCAGCGCTGGGCGGAGAGCTCTCCTCCTCTCCTCTGCCCCGCCGGCTGAATGCGCACGCGCGGCAAGAGCTGCGCGCGCATTCAGACGGTCACATAGGAAAGCATTTACAATCACAGTGAGAAGCACGCAAGCGCCTCTAGTGGCTGTCAATGAGACAGCCACTAGAGGATTAGGGGGGGAAGGCTTAACCCATTCATAAACATAGCAGTTTCTCTGAAACTGCTATGTTTATTAAAAAATGGGTTAACCCTAGAAGGACCTGGCACCCAGACCACTTCATTAAGCTGAAGTGGTCTGGGTGCCTAGAGTAGTCCTTTAAGTGTCTTGTCTACTGTACCTCCCCCAGAGTGTGACATCAGGATTCTGGAAGGAGACGCCCTCTTAGTACATGACATGCTTTGCTCAATGGGAGGGGTGCTCTAGCAGCCATTTCAAGAAAATACACATTTTACTATCACTAATTTACATCCATAACACCATGTCCAAATCAGTGATTTAAAATGGCCATGGTGTCTGGAGTTTCTATGTGCAGTGTTTCATTATCATTATCCAGCCCGGAACTAGAGTACTTAGATATATCTAGGCTCAGAATTGCATACATTGGTTGAGAGCAGCCAATAAATGGCCGATGGGATCTGCAGAAGCCGGAAAACATCACTGGCCACAGGAGGACCCCAAGTACCGAGCAAGTAAAAGGGCAATCCATTGCAGAAGGGCTTGGACCATTACCAGAAAATGGGAACTAGAGTACCCTTGGAATTGCTATAATGGGCATCAGGACACCCTCGAGTGTGCGAGCTGTGTTGCCAACAGGGTGCTGCACAGCTCACCCAAAAGGTGGTCCGCTCTGTTACAGGGCTTGCTATAGCCAGCTTAAGAGATTGTGAGTGCAGATTCTGACAACTGTTACTTCAAAAAATGTCCTACAAACTAAGGCACCACCAGCTGTCTGTCTTATGGGGTGTCCCACTAGCTTCAGAGACAACTTGTCTGATGCCAGTGGACTGCAATAAAGCCAATCCTAGAGGTTAGGAAGCTTGGAGTAACCCTTTTAGTTATATTATAAAAATAACACCCTCCCACATCCAAACAAATGTCAAGCTCCAATTGTCTAAACGGGAATTATATGTAATTGCAAAAAGTTCATGAAGCAAAAAAAAAAAAATTACTCAGTTGCTTGATCATCACTATACTCATTGCTAAGAATCGCCATTCACTAATGTAAGCTTGTTTTGTTCACTAAACTGACTAACAAAATAAAATGGTTTTATTCATGACAAACATTGAGGCGAAGGGTTAAAAAAAAAAAACAAAAAAACAAAAAAAAAAAAAAAAAGTCTCCAACTTACTTATAGTCACAATTTTAGCATACACTTTGTAAACAGGTTTCTAATTTAGTGGATGTGCCCCTTCACCATAACGGAGCCCTTGTAACAATGTTTAAAAAAGGAAGGAAACTGCGCCTCCATCAACCAAACTGAAACTATACACCCAACAAGTCCCTGCCTAAATGAGTGGACCTAATCTTGTTAACTCCTGCTATGGGGAAGTTGTCTCTAGAAAGCACGTTCAAATGTAAAGCATGAGAAGCCACCTGAATCTATTAAGCTGTCTGGCTAGTATAAGAGTATCGGTATGAAAGAAAGACTCCCTTTCCCCCCAGTAAAGGAGTTTCCATATGTCGTTCCGATTAAAGGGCCTAAATGAGATTGGTAAAGAACAGGAAACTGAAACATTCCGAGAAAAAGAACAAAGTCCAGCCTTTCCATCACGTGACATCTTGTTTATAAAGTCTGCGCGCATGCGTACTGCACTCCCATTCATTCTCTTAGGCATAACACGGATTCCTCAGTGTCACAAGATTAAGCTTGTTCTATGGCAATTAACGGATGGGTTAAAACCAGCGTTTAGCCGTTCCAAGAACAACTGAACAGCACGTTATATTGTTTCTTACTACCACACAGAGGAAGATTAACTCAAGAAGGTCGCTTTCCAAGCCTTCATTATTAGTGGACATCCCTTGTTCTTGTAAACATATGAAAAATACAAGGCTTTTATGAGAGCGTGTTTCCACATTTCTCTATCAGATCACAGTCTGCCATGGGTTAATATTCTGTTTAACGTTTACCTTTGAGTTGTGCGCTGCATTTGAAGGTAAACCGACAAGATTTAAGTTATAAATGTAGAACACAAATGAATGTTCCTTACTGTTACAAAGAACCAGCTCCACCAATCCTATGTGAAAAACCACTTCTCCATGACAGCCCACTACAAACCTAGAGCTGCTCCTACCTGTCGGGTTAAACATCATTCCTACATTCTACTGTCATTTTACAGAAACTGCCCGCTAAACGAAGTACTGTTATTTACAGTATTGCCCAACTCTGTTATATCCGAGAACATAGGCTGTTTCTCAATGGCACTGAGATAAATGGCATGCAGGACATGTTCTTGTTAAAGCAGGAATGAGAACTAAATACGCGAACAATGAAGGAAGGCGAATAACACATTTATAGACTGCTGTGTTTGCAAATAGAAGGAATTTCAAATAAACATCCTCTTTACCCCTTTCTAAACTGATCGAACATCAATTTGCTACAATGTGAGTTATATGTGAAGAGCCATTCAGGGGCAGAGTTCTAAATGTGGAACATTCCATATATAGAACTTTGCATCAGAATTACGATTTATGCATTAGCCCTAACGTATCAATAGCTCGCGCTATTCTAAGGACAAAGGACATTAAATCCCCGTCCATGCAATATATTCATCTTCAGTTCAGTGCGATTCCTTATCAAGTCACCTGATCCCCGCATCACATACACCTTCCTTAATTTGTACCAATACATGCTTCTATGTGACGGGCTCCTGGGGCTAACTAGCCTGCACTGGCTCCCCTAGAGGACCAGGGGTAAAGTAAACAGGCTGTATTGAATGGCAGGGAGTGGGGCTAATGAAGGTTGGGGCTCTATCGAATGGCAATAGAGGCTGGCTCTATTAAATGGTCAGGACAGTGGAGGCTGGCTGTGTGGAATGGCAGTGGTGGCTGGCTGTGTGGAATGGTCAGGGTTGGGGCGGTGGAGGCTGGCTCCGTTGAATGATCTCGGTTGGGGCTGGCTCCGTTGAATGGTCACGGTTTGGGGCGGTGGAGGCTGGCTCCATTGAATGGTCACGGTTTGGGGCGGTGGAGGCTGGCTCCATTGAATGGTCACGGTTTGGGGCGGTGGAGGCTGGCTCCATTGAATGGTTACGGGCTGGGGCGGTGGGAGGGGCTGGCTCCATTTCGAATGGTCACGGTTACGGTGGAGGCTGGCTCCATTGAATGGTCACGTTGGGGCGGGTGGAGGCTGGCTCCATTGAATGGTCACGGGTTGGGGCGGTGGAGGCTGGGCTCCGGCGGAATGGTCACGGCTGGGGCGGTAGGCTGCTGGCTCATGAATGGTCACGTTGGGGCGTGTGGAGGCTGGCTCCGCTGAATGGTCACGTTGGGGCGGTGGAGGCTGGCTCCGCTGAATGGTCACGCCGGGCTGGGGCGGTGGGAGGCCGTGTTCACGGAATGGGTCAGCCGCCAGCGTGGAGGCTGGCCTCGCTGGAATGGTCACGTTGGGGCGTGGAGGCTGGCTCCGCTGAATGGTCACGGGTTGGGGCGGGTGGGAGGCTGGCTCATGGAATGGTCACGGTTGGGGCGGTGGAGGCTGGCTCCGTTGAATGGTCACGGTTGGGGCGGTGGAGGCTGGCTCCATTGAATGGTCACGGTTGGGGCGGTGGAGGCTGGCTCCATTGAATGGTCACGGTTGGGGCGGTGGAGGCTGGCTCCGTTGAATGGTCACGGTTGGGGCGGTGGAGGCTGGCTCCGTTGAATGGTCACGGTTGGGGCAGTGGAGGCTGGCTCCATTGAATGGCAGTGGCTCTATTTACAGCAGCTGGAAGGCTGACAGACACATTCCAAGCCCGGGAGCCGACCTAGGACAGGACCTGCCTGGAGTGTCTAATGACTGGAGCCCGGGCGGCTGGGGGGAGCAGCTGTCAAGGGCGGAAATGAACGAACTCCCGAAACAACAACAACACTGACTGACTGACAAAAACAATGAACGTCACAAGCAATGTCCGGCCATGGCCGCCTCGCCCGGGGACAGCACACACCGAGACACCGCACAGGGGCTCCGGCTACCCCGCGGCACAGCGCCCCCCGACTGTCAGCGCTGTCACGCCAGTTATCAACTTGTCAACACAAAGTTTCTTTCTCTACTTACCAAACCCGTCGCCATTACCTAATCTCTATCCATTAAAATCCCATGGGGGCAGGCTTTAGGAGACAATGCGAAATCCTATTGGCTCTACTACCTGTCAATCTCGCTGTATCTACTTTCTATTGGTGCAAAGTTATGCTCAACAACTATTGGTTGTAGGGCTGGCCTAAGAGGCTCGTGATTACTGGCTGTATGAGCTGACAATCAGGACATGACGGGCTCGCCGATTGGTTGTCTTCGGAATGTTTTGTCAACATAA